CTCTCCTTACTTGGGTCCAGATCATCCAACAAATGCTCTCTGTCCTCAACTTCAATAATCCCCCTCACAACACCACCCATTATTTTCTCTGTGCTTCCTTACAATGCCCTCCTCCTAGCAACAAACCCAATTGTCAATGTTTCTATAACCTTTCTTAACTTAGGCCCCAAAACCTATGTACTCTTGGCCCTTTGGGTCCCCCTATGGGAACAAGAAGCATCAACTCATTTATTCCTATCCATAAAACATCTATTTTCCTTCTTTTTCTCCTACTACACACCATAACCCATTTTCTAAAAAGGTCTTGATTTCAGCTTTCATCCAGGTATCCCAGGGGAGGCTATTCAGGTGTAATGGTAGTGTCTCTGACTTCATAGGCACAAATGTGACTGGACCCTGTTTTCTGATGACAGTCATCCCACAAGTAATGTAAGTTGTACTTTCTTTTCCCAAGAACATTTGTATGTAGGGCAGCCTTTCTGCCTGTCATGGTGGGCCACACCTTAATCACTACCTTGACAGGCATAGCCGTGACCTGTGGTACCCTTGGGCACTTAGTACTATCTACACAGGTTTGTGAAACCAAGATGCAGGTCTCTCTAGATTCCACCACTGGGTCTTTAGCCTCCCTTCAAGACAACTCACTTCCTAAATCAAGTCTCTTTATAGCACAGCTCCTAAGATTGACTGATAGCTGAAAAACTGGATACCTACTTATTTCTCAGGGAAGAATGTTTCTATCCCATCAGTGAAACTGGTTTGTTTGAAGAAAATGTTAACAAACTGACCAACTATCAGAGGAGTTTCTTAAACAGACACCGTTTAACTCTGACTCCCTGGGATGGCTCAGCCACCACTGTTGACATGGATTGTCCACTTCCTGTGGCTACTGGTTATCATCATCCTGTTACTGCACTTTCTTCTTATCTTCCTTAATTGCTTCACCTCCTTTCTCATCAGACAAATCCTTCAGATGAATAACCAAACCTTTACCCAGATTCTCCTCAGGAACTACCAACCCTTAGCTTTCAATAAATTATTTCATGTCCACATTTGTGGCATGAGTACCTTAACTTGGCCATTGCATGACCCTATAGTTTTCTACATTTTTGGGCTCTATTTTTTTTCCATGCTCACCCAACCAATCAAGCACTGGGATTACAAGTGCTTGCCACATCAGTTTTGGAAACTGTACACAGAAACATCTTTGTGCTTACAATGAAACAGCTATTGAATTTGATATTTCTTCTCTTCCAAAATAATACATTTGCAGATAATGGACATCTGACATTAATTTCCTTGAGAGATTTGTGTTTTAATAGAGAATCTTAGAGTTTAGTCTTAGGGAAAAAACTTGGAGTATACTTTAAGCAAACACACACAAACAAGGAAAGACAGTAACAAAACAAAATGACAAGAAAGTGGCTGCATCTCATTGTCTTTCTTGTTGTCACTGATGAATTTCATATAACCAACTGTTGTTTGTAACAGTCTTTCTTGAGGGAATGGTGGCCCAGCCTTTGCTTATGGGCTATTGTTAATGAGTTTAATTGATAATGTTTGCCTCAGAAAAAACCAGGTTCCATGATTCCCATTCCCCAAGCAAAGCAGCTAAATTTTAGTAGTAAAGGAAATGTGCTCTGTGACATCTTCTAGGACAATTTTGTGCTTTATTTCTTTTCAATCATTGGTTGAATGTGTACTATACAAGGATGTGCATATGCACTATTAGCTAAATAGAACTATTCATGGAGAACAACTTGAAATGGCTACAGATTCAAAGTAATAATTAAAAGCTGTGTCTTTTGTTTTCCAGTGCTAGCATTGCAAGCACACATGACCACATAGGACTTTTATTTCTTTCAAGAGAGTTGGGAATTCTAAAGATGAAACTCATATCTACTAAATGACTGACACTTCACTAGACAAAGTCTGTATCTTTATAAATTTAGAACAACAGTAATTTAGTGATAGTCCAATTAGGACCCTATTTTATTTTAACTTGTTTTCTACTCTGACTCTGCATATTGATTCTAAGAAAGAGTAATGAAAGCATCATGGGTAAATTTTAAATCCTTGGTCATCAAAAGTGAATCCTGCCCTTGTAGAGGATAAGAGTTTGTTTCCAAATACTCAAGTCAGGAGGCTCACAACTGTCTAAATTCCAGATCTGTTATTTGATATCTCTATTGGACTCTGTCAGTACCTGCACTCACATATGTACTTAAACTTGGACAAACACATATGCACATAGTTAAAAATATAAACCTTTTTTCAGTATTTCTTCATCTTCTTCCACATAGTCCCCGAGTCTGTGGGTAGTGGTTTAATAAAAGTATCTCATTCATTGCTAAGTGCTCCAAATTCTTTCATTATCTGACACTATCCAGTTATCCAGTTGTAGTAATTATCATCCATTGCAAGAAGTTTCTCTGATGGGGTTGCTCAATGTACTGATCTATGTGGGTAGCATTCTATCATATCAAGTCTCAGGCTCTTGACTACTTTAGCAGTGTCAGGTATGGGTTATTTCTCATAGAGCTGGGACAGGGGGCTAATGACACCTGAAAACAGTATTTTCCACACACAACAGGATTGATACACCAGTGAATTCAAAGAGAGAGTGACAGCATGAGACCTACACAGGTTCAAACAAGACAAAATCCCTGCAATGAGTCAGAGAAGGAAATAAAAACAAATTCCACTCATAACCAAGAAGTTATTTGCAATTGATAGCTTCTGCAAAAGTGGAACTTAGTTTTCTCCAAAGGGTATATTAACCACAGTCCAGGGCAGGCTGTATGCCCTGGAGTAATTGGCCAACACAAAAATGACTCAATGTTTTTGTTCACCCTTTGTTTTGTTTTGGTGGATTTTTTGTTCGTTTTTTTCCTACAGCTTTTTGTGTGCTTGTTTTTATTTTTACTGCTGATTTTCTTTTAAAGAGAAAGAGCTTGAAAATGAGGGAGTAGGGAAGTGGGAAGTATCGGGAATGAGTTGGAGGAAGCACAAGAAGAAAAAATGCAATGTTAATAAAAGTCTATTTAGAAGTATATTTAGTACAGATTACACAAGTGGATGGGTGTTTTAAAATTACTTTCCAGAAGAAACATTCTTCCACATAGGTGTTTTCTATAATGATCCTGATAATCTTCAAAAAAGTCCCTCAAATGCTCCTTTGAAAAGCAGCAGAAGCGTCTCTGGGATTTACTACAATTCTGAAATGTTTTCACAGGAGACACTGTAAAATTGCAGGCAGAAATCCTAACATGGGAAATGCAGCTGCAGACACAGTTTTGATCAAAAATATCATGGGCTTAATCTTCTAATTTTTCAGGTGTGATCTTATTGTCATGATCTCAGATAACTTCCCCCATTGTTTTAACAAATTATACTTGATCAGAGAAAGATGGAGTAGTTGAAAAATACTTGGGTAACAATCTGAATGTTTTTTTTCTTTCTACGAGTAAAGCAAATAGTTAACATGGTTTGTTAAATACCTCAGAATTCATATCACTGATATTTTCTTTCATAGAGCCTACTAAATATCTAAAATATATACAATACTATAAACATATTTATAACTTGGTACCTAGTAAGATGTCATACTGTTATTTCTTGATTTGGGTTTTGAAAAGTTATTCATATTTCCTCTTTGTTTCTAAGGCAGAAACCAGGCGAAAGTATCACAAACAGGAAATTGGCCATCATTAAAGAGACCCTCTTCAGCAGCATGCCTGAAACAGATGTTTAATAAACAGAAGAATATGCTCAGGTGTTTTTTTTTAATCTATGAATCACAGGGTGAACAATCAATTATGGCTTAGAAGTGGTAAGTGAAGGGTAAAAAACATTTGATGGGGTGGGATTGAGTTGAGAAGTGGTTGGGACCTTGCATTGGCAATTTGTTACCTTTTCTATGATTTTAGTTTTAACTTACATACAAAACTGCATTAATTGTTGAAGGAATAATGTGATATTAATAGGCATGAATATAATAGATAAATAACAAGTCATAGAATTTACTTTACCCAACATCATAAATATAGTTTTGATTTAAAATTTGAAATCATCCTTCCTGAATAATTTCTTACCATATTAATTTTGCCATATACAAAACCCCAATAAATCATAACTACTGTGGAATAAAAATAAATTAACCAGAAAATAATAAAAATATACAGTACACAATGTTATTAAAATTTTTATCCAATATCTAAGTGGATATTTTAAAAAGGAAGACATTCAATTCATCAAAGGGGAGTAAATAGGAGAGGGAGAGAGATAAGAGAGGGATATGAGGTTGAATGCGCTCAAAGTATAATCGAGGTTATATGAAATCAAGAACACGATCAATATCAACAGCTGGAGAAAGATGAACTAGTAGCAATTTGTTCTTGATTCTTTCTGTCTGAAACTAACTTTACATGGAGATTCATTTATCTGCCTATCTCAGGATTGATAATGGTCGCTTCCTGCATCTAGAGTCTTTCTTCTCCTCACAACTGTTCTTGTCATTCTTTAGCCCCCACACTCCCTGTCTCCATTTCCAAAGAATTTGCCTTTTGTATGGTCTAGCCTTGGAGATTATGCTAGAACTTAGAATGACATGACTTTTGATTACACATAAGTTGATTTATTATTAAATATATTTAACACAGATTATAATTTCTAATAAACTGAAAAAATCATTTGAACACAAAATACAAATAAACTTAATATGTAAAAGAATCAAACTAAATATATTCAATGAAAAAACATTATTTTAGGACAACTTATAATTTTGGAATTTCTCTGAAATTAAAGTGCCATGTATCCTGAAGGTAAAGAAATAATGTATAAAATATTATGAATCACAAGCTCATAAGTATATTCTGACTTAGAAATGTATTCATTAACCAATTTAGTATTGATGTATCTTAATGGCATATTTTGTAGTTGAAATAAAGCATGGGGATACTTGTATGCATAAATTCATATTTTAGTATGTGTATCTTTATTTAAAAGAATATTTTATTTTTTAGTTTTTGCAGGGCCTCCTTTACATCCTTGTTCCTAAGGCTGTAAATCAGAGGGTTAAGCATAGGAATCACTAGGGTGTAAAACACTGAGGCCATTTTGTCTTGATCCAGAGAGTAAGCAGAAGCAGGGCGGAAATACATGAACAGCAGTGTTCCCTGGAAAATGACAACTGCAGTTAAGTGAGAGGCACAGGTGGAGAAAGCTTTGAATCTCCCCTCAGTGGAGTGAATTTTTAAGACTGAGGACATGATGTAACAATAAGAAACAAGAACTCCTGAGATGGTGCTGAGTTCAATCAAACCAAAAATAATAAAGGTGACTAACTCATTGACCTGTGTATCTGAGCAAGATAGTAACAGGATGGGAGGGATGTCACAGAAAAAATGATTAATCTCATTAGATCTACAGAAACATAGCCCAAAAGTCATTATAGTATGTATCACAGTATCTATCATTCCTATGAGGTAAACTCCAGCTAGGAGGCAATAACAAACTCTATTGGACATCTCTACAGCATACATCAGGGGATTGCTAATGGCCTTGTACCGATCAAAGGCCATCACTGCCAGGAGCATGCACTCAGCGTCTACAAAGATACACGTGACGAAAAACTGCAAGGCACAGCCAACAAAAGATATAGATTTGTGTTTGTCCATTAGGTCCACAAGCATCTTTGGTCCAACTGCAGTGGAATAGCAGAGGTCTGAGAAAGAGAGGTGACTGAGGAAGAAGTACATTGGTGTGTGAAGCTGGGGCTCCATTCTGATCAAAACAATCATTCCAATATTTGTCAGAAGAATAAGGAGATAGATGAGAAGAAATACAATGAATAGAACCACTTCTATGAAAGAGTTATCAGTAATTCCCAATAGAACAAATTGTGTGATTGAGGAGCAGTTTCGTTCATCCATTTTCTTTATTCTTTGTTGATTGGTTGCAAAAAGCATTAAAAAATAGATAGACTTGGGTTTAATTAATATTTCCAAGAAAATTGTTGTCAATTTTGAGAATCTAATTTCACTATTTAGAACATATTTTGTAGTTCCATAAGATGGTGTAGACTAGTGGGTCTCAAACTTCTAAATGCTGACACACATTAATATAGTTCTTGATATTTTGGTAACACCAAACAAAAATTTATTTCATTGGTACTTCATAACTTTAATTTTGTTGCTTTTTTGAAGTGTAATACAAATATCTGATATCCAGAGTATCTGACATGCTACCCCTGTGAAAAGTTTATTCCAATCCCCCACAAAGGGGTAACAACACTCAGGTTAAAAAACCATTGGCACAAATCTCTCTTAAGTAGCATTATCATTAAAAATTTCCCCAAATATTTAAAGTGGTCAGATAATATTTTTAATCTTAGTTAATAAATAATTTCTAATGTGATTTTTCTTGCTCATTTTAAGAGTGTAGAATTGACACATCTAAAATTTGTTATCATATCACAATTCATCTGTAGCATCCAAAGTCCAATTCATCTGTAAAGTCCAAAGAAATGAAAGGTTAACTATTTCATAAAATCAAACAAAAGGATCATCATATTAATATTGAATCATAGTTTAATCTCTCATTATAGCATCAGATGAAATAAATTCATGAACATTACTAAGGTGTTGTTTTGCTACATTTTCTTAATGACACCTATTTCATTAAGCCAACTATCTCTTGTCATCCACCACTCCTTGCTTTGAATCTATCAGACTCCGAAATCTAAGTGAAATCTAAGTCCTTATAAAAGAAAGAAATGAATTCTATGTGAAAAGATTACTACAAACTGCCCCTGTATCATTGATTTGTAAAAAACTGATAATTACTGAAAACATGACAGGCTTCTTAGGAACATATTCTGTTTTTTTGTGTTTGTCTTTCATAAAGGCATATGTCAAAAAATGCTTGTTCATGTTCCTTTATTAATGAATTTCATTTTTCTCTTCTAAGTTCTTATGACATGTAGTTAATTGGAATTTAATTTACATGGATCTGCACTTACAATGTTTTGATTTTATTATTATTTGAGAAAGAATATAGAAAAATAAAATTATGTATGCATATCACTTACAGAGTTAGATAACAAAGGAATTTTGACTATTAAATGAATCATAGAAACCTTTACAAAACTTCATTAGTGGCATATTAAGGCAGTTAAATTCCTACAAGTACAGCAAGAAGACTCAATGGCCAGTAATAGATTTTAATCTGAATTTAACTGACATCAAGATATACTACTATTTTTTGGCTTATTCCTCAGGACAAAGAGAGAAAACAGGTTATTATTTTCTTCTATATTGTTTAAATGTCAGATAGAAGCATACCTCAGATATTTATTCTGTCCTTATCTCCAGCACCTGCACAATCTGCATATGACACTATTGTGCTGTGGTACTATTGGTTTTTAAATAGGTTAGAGTCTGTTTATTATTCTGTATGTAAGTGGGATTAATTAAATTCTCTTTTCAGTTTTTTCTCTGAGGAATACAGCAACAGCTTTGATCAAGTTTGAACTTTTAATACTCTATCCTTGTCATCACATGGATCCCTAACAGATGTTAAACAGAGCTTATACATAGGATTTGTAACATCTACTAAAACCAGACATCTAATGAAATTGAAGAAGATTCTCTTCTAACAATGTCCATGTCTTTTTTGTTTTCTATCTAGTTTCTTTGCTTTCTGAAACAAACATTTCAATCCTGGTGATCTCAAACAATGTTCTTTCCATTAAATATTGTCTCTTCTCTCACAACTCTACATTAAACAACATAATTTCTGTAAAATGATTCCTCTGTATTTATTATGGTCATGTTTAGTGGGGGCTTGGAATCCCTTGTTTGTTTTCATCTTTATGACATGTAGATGTGGCTCTACAGATTTCTGTGGGAAGAATTGGCTAGTAAAGATGATGTGTTAAATATTTTCAGGTAGATACTCTGTTCTTTGAAGAATAAGAAAGTTTTTTAAGAATACGAAAAAAATCTATGAGGTAAAATAATGACCTCATTTAAATGAATTGCATATATTCAAGGAAATGCCAAATTTCAATCACTTACCAAATAATTTATGATTACTTTTACTTCAAGCAATAAATTTGAAAATTAGCAGAAGTCAGAAGTGTGCTATTTCTTGGGTATTCAAAAATGTACTTTGCAGCTACTATTTGACATTGGACACCCTCAATGTTGACTCAATATTTTAACATCTAAGTTATTACATTATTAATTTGGATGGCGAGCTAAAAACTGCATTTATATTTTGTTACATAATTTTTAGGATAACCATGCTACAATCAACAGACTTACAAAGAAGGAGGGTTCAAGGGGTGGGGTGTGGGAAAAGACATGAATCTCATTGTGAAGGGCAAATAAAGTAGACATTTCCATTGCACGGGGGAAGGGCTTTGGATGAGTGAATGGGAATGGGAATAAGAGGGATCTGGTGGGAGAAGGATGGAGGGAGAGAGTACTGGGAGAGACAATTGGATTCTAGGGTCATCTCTGGTATGAGCTAATAACCTAGTGCAATGGAAACTACCAGCAATCAGTGAGGGTGACCCCAGATAAGACTTCAAGAAATGGGGAATATATAGCCTAAACTGGCTATATACAATGACCAGGCAGGACATCCAGTAGAGAGACTGGGACACTAACCCAGCCACCAAAGATTCATCCTAAAATTTGTCTTGCCTATATGATGTGCTGGAGTGAAGATAGCACAGAAACTATGGGAGTGACCAACCAATCCATGCCCCAGCTGGAGACACTTATCATAAGAAAAAGCCCACCCTGACACTGCCTGGAGGGCCAGGACCCAAAGTCTAGCTTTCTCAGAGACCTAGGAGAGAACCAAACATGAACGGCAAAAAAAAAAAAAAATCCATGAATGATATGATTCCTAATGATATTCTGCTAAATAGTCTAGTCCATCTGTCATCAGAGAGGCTTCACCCAGCAACTGATGGAAACAAATGCAGACACCCACAAACAAACATTAAGTGGAGCTTAAGGAGTCTTGCAAGAGAGGGGAGGAAGGATTATAGGAGCCAGTGGAGCAAAAGGTCAAGGACACCACAAGAAAACTCATAGAACCAGCTAACCTTGCTCATAGGTGGTCATAGAGACTTAACTGACAACCAGGGAGATGGTATATGACTGACCTAGACCCTTTAGATATAAGTTACAGATGTGTAACTTGGTTTTCTTATGGGATTCCTAATGGTGGGAGCAGAAACTGTCTTGCCTGTTGCTTTCTGACCAATTTTTTCTACCAGATTGCCTCATCTAACCTTACTAGAAGAGGAAGTGGCTAGTCTCACTGCAACTTGATTTACCATGGCTGGTTGATATGCATGGGAGCCATGACCATTTCTGAACAGAAACAGAGGAGGAGGAGTGAATGAGAGCATGTGGAGCTTGGGAAGAGGGACAGGATGGGAAAGATGGAGGGGAAACTTTGGTCATGATGTAAAATAAATTAAATAAATAGAAGAAATGTTTGTAAATGACAACAATAATATTTTTATTATATTTCCCATGCTTTTTGTCTGCATTTGAGGATAAAATTTTCAGATTAAAATAGAGATTAGAGATGGATATTATAACAAAAAATGTTGTTTTGTTACATAATATTTAACTTAGCATGATATCACCAAATTCAAAATTCATCATTTCTTTCCATCTCTAACAACTTCACATTATTCAATGAAGATATGAGATCTAGTAGTAATACAACTGTTCTAAACCCTATGTGCAAGGTATTTGTTTGATTCCAAAGTACCAAATGTCAGTAGTATACTAAATAGTAATCACAAATGATGAAAACACAAAATAAAAGTAGAAATAATCATCTCTAAGGAAGAAAATCTTGACTATTATTATGAAACATTGTATTGTATTTGTAGTCTTCCCCCCACACACAATTACGGTAAAAGGATTGTTTTGTTAAAAGAGAATGGAAAAATAATTCATCTATCCCGATGGAGGAATATTCCATCTCTGTGTCTGGGCAACACTGTAACAGTGATTGGGGTGAAGAGGGGTATTATGAAAGATGATAAATTGACATGTCGTGTATTTTACTTACCTGAATTTCCTTATTCTGGGTTTATAATGATATGTAATGTGACATGATTAGTAGAAGCACAATAAATTATTTTTTATTGTTACTTTTGTTTTTTGAGACAGGGTTTTTCTGTTTAGCCCTGGCTATCCTGGAACTCACTCTGTAGAGCAGGGTGGCCTTGAACTCAGAGATCCAACTGCCTATGCCTCCCAAATTTTGAAGTTACTGATCTGTGACATGGACCACCCAGTGACTAAATTAAATAATTACCCTGAGTTTGTACAGATTATTATCTTGTGGGAGAAGTGTACCCATGTTGGAACTGTTATGATATACATTTTATAAGGCATGACATATTTCTGGGTTATATGTATTGACAAATGCTTACTATGCTGTAATTCATGATGATTCATTTCTTTATATTGTATCTTAAGTGATTAGTTTATATTTAGGATATTACTGTAAACAGACATGACTATACAAATAGTCTTACACTGACAGGCATAAACTGATATGTTACATAAATAATCCAGACAATTCCATTTACAGGAGTCTTATTTCATGATTTCCCACCCTGTTTCACAAGCACTTTGACCCAAATTAATACACTGATTCCATAAATTCACAACACCCATGGATGCCTGCATAGGAGCTGCACAAGATTCATTCAGTCAACTTCCAAAACTCACAATGTCCCACCTATAGCTATGGCAATATATTCATCACATGGATGCTGGCTGAAGAACAGGCTGTTTATTTCAGTGGTGTGACCACTAATAACTTTAAATCTTTCAGTTATTAGCCTTATACCATGTGCTCATGGGCAATGTTAATGGGACTGGGTAGA